GGGCGGCGGGTGTGGGTGTAGCTTGGGGTCGTTTGTGTCTCCTGTGTGGTAAATCCCTTGCCGGCTTCTGTGAACTGGGCTGGATCACATGCCGCCTTCCTCAGGCAGGAGCTGCACTGCAAGGAAGTCATTTGGAAAAAGTCTGACAAAGACACGTTTATGGGAATAATCCATGCTTGAATTGGGCAAACGGCATGTGCAACAGGTGGATATTACAAACTATTTTTTAAACTAGGTTCTCCCCTCACCGTGCACAAGGCAAGTGCGGAGCTACTATGTGGACTGGAGGATGCTGCGGGATGTCAAGAGAAGGAAACTGGCGTACGAGTACGCGGATGAGAGGCTGCGGATCAACGCCATCCGGAAAAACACCATCCTTCCCAAGGAGCTGCAGGTACCGGCAGCCACCCTGCTGCTGTGCCCTGACAGGGCATGAGCCCACCCGTGGCTCCCACTTTCACAGAATTTTTTTTTTAGAGTTGGAAGGGACCTCTAGAGATCATCTAGTCCAACTCCCCTGCTAAAGCAGGATTGCCCAGAGCACATTACTCAGGACTGCATCCAGGCGGGTCTTGAAAATCTCCAGAGAAGGGGACTCCACAACCTCCCTGGGCAGCCTGTGCCAGTGCTCTGTCACCCTAACTGTAAAGAAGTTTTTCCGTGTGTTGGAACGGAACTTCCTATGTTCCAACTTGTGCCCATTGCCCCTCGTCCTGTCACTGGGAACCACCGAGAAGAATGTGGCTCCATACTCCTTCAACCCACCCTTTAGATATTTGTAAGCAATAATAAGGTCTCCCCTCAGCCTTCTCTGGCCACAGTACATACCCAAGTGGCCCTGCCAGGTCAGGGGCACCTGTGTTACTCTGATGAGGACAAAATCATGTCGTATGGCATAGCTACTGCTAGTACCCAGGTGTCCTTAGAGCCTTTGCCTTTTGGAGGTGTTCACAACAACAACAGTGTATTCTCCTGACTAGTTGTGTGTGTTGGATTGTAGGACTTTTCTTGGTGGTTTGTTTTTTTTTTTTAAAAAAAAAATAGTTTCCCAGGTAAGCAGTATCTGTAACACTACATAGGATGAAGTCTCATTTTTTTCCCTCACAGCTGTCACTAACGTACATTCAAGAAAGCTCTTTTCCTTATATTCCTATAGTATGGCATACTATATGGTTACTTCTATATTTTCCTAAATAAACTTCAGATTTTTTGCTTTTATGCTTATTTAAAAACCTGGAAGCCTGATCCAGCTAAAACCACCATTTTGCTTAATTAGAAAGTAAGAATCTAGCCCTACACTATTGCTTTTCAGCACTGCCACAACATAATAGATTTTGTAGTTGAACACGGGACCTTCCCTTTACCTCCAACTGTGACTTCGTATCGTGACTGAACACAGGACTCCGAGCCCTTCTGTCCTTCAGAAAATAGCATTTTAAGAATGCTGCAGTTAGGGATGCTGATCTAGCCTCAAGCAACTTCCTTCGGGCTGCATTTCCCTGCTGAAGTCATTTCTGAAATTCCATTTGTTGCTACCTGGTGCTTCCTGACAACTGTTGAGCTCTTTTGTTGTACGTAGAAAGACCTTTCTTAAGCCTTCTTGTTAGAACAGACACTTTGACTTGTCCTCCTCTGCCTGTAACTCCTTCCAAAGTACACCATATGAGATCCCTTTTACTCACATCAAAGCACGTTACCTGAGAAGGCAGTTGATTAGGAACTTAATAAATTCAGCTCATATTAAAGGACTAGGCCACCCTGCAACAAGGAGAAAGCCCAGTGGATTTTGACTAACTGTAATTACTGGCTTGAGGTTGTTCAGCCTGTGATAAGGTTAAATGTTGGGTCTCTTAAAGGACTAGCCCACCCTGCAACATGGACAAGCAGATTTTGACTCACAACAATTACTGGCATGAGGTTGTTCAGTCTATGTAATAAGGTTAACTTTGGGGTCTTCATGTGGATAGTTTTATGTTCACTGTTAGGATGCCCAAAAAGAAAGGGTGAGGCGAGGCAGATGGGTGCAAGTTCCCTATCAAAGCAAAGCGTACTCATGAGGTGGTAGGGGAGCTTGGGGTGGTACCTAAGCTACAGCTAGACTTTGAGGTCTGGCAGTAAGCCCCCTCAAAATCCTGGGGAACACAGGTAAACTCTATGCTGTGGTCTTCTGTTTTAGGAAGTGGCCGATAAAGAGATTGCTGCCTTGCCCCGGGACAGCTGCCCTGCGAGGATCCACAATAGGTGTGTCCTGACATCCCGCCCTCGGGGGGTGAAGCGGCGTTGGAGGCTCAGCAGAATTGTTTTCCGCCATTTTGCTGACCATGCTCAGATGTCTGGGATACAGAGAGCTATGTGGTAGATCACTGCATGGATATACATTCAGGCAGAAAACACAAAACAGGCTCAGTTTGTGTGTTGGAGTAATTAAAGCAAGACTCTCCTGTCCAGGAGTTGAGCATCAATATCAAACTAATAAGGGAAGGATGAGAAACCATGCTGATTCATTAAACTCGCGTACTGGATTGCACTTGGTAGCAGCTGACAAGAAGCAGCGCAACAGCGCTAAGCTGGTCTGTACGAGAGGCAGTTTTATTTTGAGGAAAAAAAGTTACAACCTGATTGTTGCAGAGCTAAGCGGAGGTTTGTGATACGGGCAACATTAGAAATAAAGACATACAGCACAAGGCTCGTTTCAGCAGTTGTTTTTTTTCCACCATATGGCAAGTTCACCATGGAAATTTGGGTAAAAGCATAAATGAAATTGCACAAAAGGGCAAAGTAGTCATCTGCCATGAACAAGGATGGGCATGAACCGAAGACATGGCCTCAAGTTTAGATACTCTTGCTGTGCAAACTTAATATATGTATATTAACAAGCAAAATGGATAAAGGACCTATTAGAAACTACAATGTGCTAGTATTTTTCTCGTGGTTAGTACAGCACACAGTCCAATGCTTTAAGAACAAGGCAGCAAGTAAGTCCAAGTCCAGAGCATAATAGGGGAGTAATGGCTTCCTTAATTCATAAAGTAACATCAAGCAAATTTGTCCTCAGAAGACACATGAGAAGGAAGCAGGAAGAAAACAAATTTAATAATAAGCCTGCTGCCAAGCTCATGTTTTCCCTGTACTCTTCTTCAAAGCAGGGCAATAAAGGGGAAATGGCTACTCTGTCCCCCTCCCTAGCAGTGGGGTGGAGAGGCTGCAATTAACAGGCCAAGTAAAATGGTACTACCAACAGATGGAAGGCACATAAGCAGCAAAATGACAGCAACTCATCCACCCCCAGTTGAGCCAAATTTTGGAGTATGAGCTATCTCAATATACTTCTTGCTCTTTTACCTTAAAACCCTTGAAAGTTGTAGAAGAAAGTGGAGCTTGTCTATTTATTTTCCTCATACACTGCTAGAGTCAGGGCAAACTCCCTGTCCAGCACCAGCAGCTCACTGCCCTCCTGTGACTGATACCACCTCAAAGACACCCCAAGGAGATCACCATTAGCATGGGCACTAAAAAGCTGTTTTCATTTTCAAAATTCAAAAGAGGTCAAATAGCCAGTAATTAATTTCTGACAGTAATCATTAAATTTTAATACCACAGGGTTAACACCATATTGTTTCTACTCAGCTACCAAGTGCTTGAGATAGTGGTTCTACTTTCTTCAGCATTTCTCCCTTTGTGACATACTTTACAGTTCAACATACTTTCCCACATTGAATCAAAAAACCCACACCCCACGTAGCGAGCATGACATTAGCCCCAGCAACCAGATGGGTGCAGCTGTCACTTGCAACAGAAAAGCCTTGACCCATCCTAGTTTAGGATTCCTTTTCTTTTACATTCTGTTTTCAGTTTTACAACACTCTCCGCTCATCTGAGATGCTTTTTCAAGGAGGGGTAAGGATATACCTACACTTCACTCTTCAGGAAACGGTGAATGACGTGACTGAAGGAAATGCTTTATAATCTATTTTAATTAAATATTTTCTCCAACCTGAAATGGAAAATGACTGTCTTTGCTTGGAAGAAGGTTGTGTAAACAATGATCTTTGCAGCACAGCATGTCTCACATGGAAGATCAGTATTAAGGCGGCCCTTAGAGTACTTTCAAATATCCATTGGTATGTCCCCTTTGGATTGCTTTTCTCTGCTTTCAACCCAGGCCTTGTTGATGGTCCGCTTCATTTCATCATCCCCTTCTGCATACATCTTTTTTAAAAGGTTCATAAGCCCTTCACTAGGATCTGAGGTGTCATAGGCAGCCTTCCTGCAAGATGGATACATATGAGAAGATCAGGTATATTCAACAATTCTGTGCAAAGAATGAAATGCTCATATTTGTTTGTAACTGAGGATTTAGCTTTGGCAATGTTTTCAGATCCTGAGAGTCTTCAGTCATGCCTCAGTCAGCTTCTGAGTAGGGAGAATCCTAAAGAGTACACTTAAACTAAGGGCAAGTTGAGTAGTATACCTAGAGCTGTCCCTCTGAGGATGATGGGAAGCGTTAAACATGATCCTTGAAGCACCACCCAAAATTAATTTTAGGAAGCAGAAGTGGAATATAACAGACACAGAAAATGCTAAAATCTGTCTGTGCTGTTATGTGAAAAGGGCATAAAAATAGAAAAATAACCACACTGAGCTCTTCAAAGTGGCCATATTCACAACCCAAAAGGTATTTCTGCTTCTCATTTTTCAGATTATCTCCAGACTTAACACCTTGCATTTCAAAGTAATTTTCTCAGTTTAAGCAGCCAACTGACAAATGATGCCACCCACATGGTAAGCACATTACCAGACTATACATAATGCCCGCTCTATCCTGTTTTCTAAAATCCTATAGGTAGTTAATAGCGCAGCTGCAGCCTTTCTGAAAAACATGCAGATCAAAATGCATCAGCAGAGGGAGCAAGTTCCCCAAGCACGGGGCTAACCACCAGTTACACAGACCCCACCAGGAACATTTCTGAACTGACTCATTTTGTCAGACTGTAAATCCTCAACACTTGGAATACAGCGGCAATACTAATCGTGACAGGCTGGGCAGCGTGCACGACTGCTCTGTACAAGATACACGTTAAACAAAGTGACCCTGTTCTTCCAGCAATGTGCACTAGTAGTCAAGTCGCCTTCTCTTAATCTCCAGTGATGCCACTGGAGAGGGGAAGATACTTTTGCACTAAATTCAGGTATGGTTAGTGAGGACTAACCAGTTTTAGCAAATCATCCTATCAACATGCACAAAACGAATAGCTGTTGGCAGGCATAACTTTTTCAAAAGTGAGCATTTCCATGCTTCAAGGTGGGTATACACATTCTCTTCTGTAAAACATGGGTGTGTATTGTAAAATAACATATTATTATTATATAGTATACTACATTATATATATATAAAAATCTCTTGTTCCCAGGTGTTTCCTGCTGTAATTTACCACCCTCCTATATCCAGTGTCTAAGCTTGTAGGATTGCTCCCAAGTACTTACGTGATACAAATTATCTTGAGACTTTGTATAGTGATCTAGGTAACAAAGACCTGTTTTGCCAAAAGGACACTGTGATTTTTGTGCAGGCATTTCACACGCAGGTGACAACAGTAATTATTTCAACCAGCATAGCTGCAGGGAATATATATGTATATCTATATAGTATACACTTAACCTAAAAAAAGTCAACCTCACTGGAGTAGTTTTTGCAATTAATGCAGCCATCAAAATACAAATGAATCTTTAATTGGTTCATTACCTTTAGCACACTCACTGCAGGTCTTATCTATTGCATTTCCTATGATGCAGCCGTCATCATTAGCAATGAAACAGTAGAAGAGCAGCAAACAGCTACTCAAAGTGTATCTCTCCACTGCCAGTCCTATTAGTACCAAAAAAATCCCAACCTAATGATTCTCCAACATCTTAGGGGCTTGTCCCCAGAAGAGCAATTCTCTCACAGGCTGACTGTGCAGTGAGTACAGTACAGATCTGCTCTCCTGGCAGTCCTAAAGCAATTTGGAGAACAAGAAATGGAAAATGAGATGGAGGGTTGAAAAGACACTTACTCTTTCTCTTTGCTTTCTTTTTCCACTTGAGTGAGACATTCCCATTTTTCCTCCCGCTTCTTCCTACACATCACAAGGACCATGTCTGTCTTTATCTGTATGGTGAACAGGAAGGCATGAATTTAGAATGCTTCATAGAGGGATGTTAGTCACAACTACAATGAATAAGGTTAGATTCTAACATAAACCTCTTTCTGTACTTGCAAATTCCTGAAACGTTTATCTCAGCTATTGATTATTACCTAACATAAAGAAGTTATAGTAGGTACTCAGCTTCAGGGTACAAAGTATTAACTTCATGGACAATTTAAATGGTGTGATTAATATAATACTAGTACTGTACTATAGTACCAATACAGAAGAGCATACAGTGCTGCAGAAACACCATTCAGTGATTCTGAGGATGTACCCAAGACTGCCGGGTAAAGGGTGGCTATATTTACTACACTTCTCCAAGAATACCAGGTAGAGGCTTTCCCAATTTATTTCTCCAAGGATAAAAAGTAGTTTTAGGGCATTGCTTAATCTTGCAGTATGTTTGCAAGTTACAAGCAAACCCTGTTTAATTGCAACCCTGACCTAAATTTCACAAAGAACTCCTGCATGCCACAGCAGACAAGAGTCTGCTGGAGCTTTAGCTTAGCTTAGCAAGTACGTGACCACTGCTCGCTTTTACGCCATGTTAAAAATCACCAGAGCATCACCCTCATTTGTTTCAGTTGTTTTAATTTTGCACTGTCCTAGTTTTAGGGCAATTTCAAATTGAACCATCATTTCTTCACATCTGATGCCAGTGCATCTGATAAGTGCAGCACAGCGTGTACACAAGGTATTTGACACATCCCTAAGCCCGCAAAGGTGCTCAGTAAGGACACTATCACCAGTTGCAGTCATCAGCAGTAAATATTACTAGTATTCAGTTCTGGAGCAACACAGTCTTACAAAGGCACAGCAGGTTTCAGACTTTGCTTTGGGTATTAAGCCTATTTAAGCTTCCCAAGATTTCAGTCTGCTGACAAGTCTCTTGGACCTCAAAATTGCAAAGAATTTCTCAGAGGTATTTAAAAGCACAAGGATGCAAATGGATGCTTAGTGGAATTTTCTGCTTAATTATTTCTGAAATCCCGATGGAGAGCTATTAAAAAAAAAAAAGTACAATATCCAGACATGATCTTTTGAAATAGAAGCCCATAGATTCCAGAGAATAATTCCACAGTTATGAAAATTACAGATTAATAAGAATCATGTTCACAGTAAGGAAACTTTACAGACAGAAGGGAGGGACTGAAGGTTAGCACTGAGTCTCTTGAACTAGAGTCAAGCAACGAACATGGTACTTTGCGAGGGACCTAAATATCTCTAACAGCTGAGATGCACTGACCTTTCTAGAGCTGCCTTCCACAGAGATGGGTTTCAGGAGGTTGTTGAAGGTCATGGTGTAGTTCTTCCCATTCAGATTCTTCACTAGCAGATCAAACGACCTGGAACCAGGAAGTGGGGGAAGAAGGGCACAAATATTCCAATCATTGTAAGACTACAGTGCCTTGTTGCCAAAAACAATGTCTGAAAGCCCTCTAGCAGACATATTTCTTTGGAAAGTATGTCAAGAGGTTTGAATTACTTTCTTCCCAAGGCTTTAAAATCTTCAGTTGGAATTAATACTGAGGATTTAAAGGACCTGTCCAGACTTCACAACAAACCAAGATCTTTAGGGTCCTTTCTACCTCACTGATCTCCTACAACCTTGGAAAGGCAGATTTACTTAATGTACACTCCAACTCTATCACCATCAAAAAACAGGGCTAATGCTACATATCCTGCCAAGTGTGATAAGGTGCAACAAGCATGTGTAAAATAAAAATACCTTGACACCCTCTAAGGAGAACTATACTTAAGGGTATGCGCTAAGTGCTGCTAAAAGCTAGTATCACTCAAGTTAAAAAAAAAAAGGGGGAAGGGGGGGGAGGGCAGATCCAGAACAGAAATCAACACAACACATTCCTGCAAATACTGTTCTTCATCCATGCTCTCCCCTAAAGCATGGTGCAACAATATGAACTCACCTCTCTGTGAAATTCACCTGCACGTTCTCAGCTGGAAGCTTCTGGACTCCATTTAAAGAGATATAAATCTTAATAAACTTATCTGACTGATCCCAACCTGCAAGTGAAAAAAAGAGATTAAGTTCTAGCTTTCCTCCATGAACTTCATACATTCCATTCCAACTCCCCCCACAAAGCTCCCTGGTAATGACTAAGATCTCTGCCTTATTGAAACAATCTTCAGAGAGATGAGTGAAAGACGTGAATGATTCAGGAATAATTTGAGAGCAAAAGGAGGTTTTCACACCTGTTCCCTAATTCCTGCAAATTCTGAGAAAAACCACGTATCAGCGCAGGTAAAAGGGCAGCAACTCCGTCCGTGCAGAGGAAATTAGAGGTAGCTGTCTGCTTTTGCTGCAGTTTCCTTGACCCACTTTTTCCACTGCTCCTCGCATGACAAGTATCTTGAGCAATTCATTCTCCTTTCACCTACATGGCGAGCAGAGAAGCCAAAGCTCAAATTCCTGCTAAGCAGTCAGCAATGGAAAAATACTAATTGTTACACCAGGGATCATTAATGCTTCCCACCAGTACTATCACACAAACAGAATTAACACACACTGTGTTTGAGATGGCACAGTAAGCATGTAGTAGCTTTCAAAGTGGGGGCTCCAGGGTGAAATAAACACTTAAGAAGGCTTCTCTATAACGTTAAGCGGCAACTGTAACTCATACTAAAGCCACCCTGCCTTCTTTTCAGAGATGCCTGAGCTCTAAGTGTTCAGAAGAGCACTCCTACCATAATTGTTTATTTTCACTGTGTACCCTCCCAGTGATGACTTTTCTTCCTCTACTGCATCTTTTGGTTTCAGTGGAGGCTGATTCTTGATTTCTAGCTCTAGCTTGTGTTTCTCTGTCATCAGGACATCGCGGAGTCGCTTCCTCGTGACTTTCGTGAGCAATTCTTTAACCTCTTCCAAATCTTTCTGTAACTGGTTTAAAAATAAAAGATCACACATATGTATATTAGATACAGGTCCTTTTACTCAGGGTTTGCACCTGAGCTCTTACAGCTACGGCACTTCCAGATGTAGCAGTTTCAGGTTTATCACGTCAGTAGTTTCCCTTCTCTCTCTACACCCCGTTAAGCATGAAGCCACTCGTTCCTCCCTCCCTGGCCGCTAATATTTTCACTTCTCGACCAGTATGTATGTCAAGGTTCAAGCTTTCATCGATTTAAAAAACAAGGGAAACCGATAAAAGGCCGACGCTTGGAACAGCTCCTCAATAGGTTCTGGAGCACGCTGAAAGCGCACAGCACCACCTCAGGAAGAGACACCTCCAGCGCTCAGCAAGGCTCCCTGCCGCCCGGGAACGCAAGCTCCCCGGCCCCACGCCTCCTAACTGCGGCCAGGCCAACCGCCCCTCGCACGGCCCGGCCCGGCTCCCCCCGCGCCCCCCCGGGCCGGGCCCGCGGCCTCCACCGGTGCGGAGCGGGGTTCGCCGCCGGTTCCCAGTCAGAACTCCAACCAACGGCCGCCCGCGCGCCAGCTCACCTCCTCGCGCGCTGCGGCCATGTCGCGTGCGGCGGCGGCGCACCCCCCCCAGCGGCAGCGGCTCCCGCGGCCCCTCTGGAACCTTCCGGCCTCTCGCCACGCCCACACAGCCGCGCGAGCGCGCGCGCGCCACGGAAGTGACGCAACGGCGCCACCGCCAGACGCGTGCCGCCAACCTCACCCGTTCCGCTGCGTGAGCGGAACAGCTCGGACTTCCCTCCTCCCCCCGCGCCGTCCCCCGTCGGCGTTGCCATGGCGACGCCCAGCCAGCAGCCGCCTTGCCAGGCCGGGGGGGGGGGGGGGAGCCGTTACCGCCGCCCTGAGGCGAGCAGCCGGCCGGGGAGGCGGTGACTGACAGGCACCGCCGCCGGACGGGTTTTCTCCCGCCCCCGGCGGCGCCTGGGGGCCCGCCTGGAGCGGGCGGCCGAGGCAGGCGGCGGCGGGGCCCGGGTGGGCGAGCGGGCGGGTCTCCTGTGCGACCGCAATGGCTGCTCTTTTAGAGAAGAGTTGAAACGGCCTTCCCGAGTAGTGCAGCCTCCATGGTAGGTAGTTGCTCAAGAAGAAAAGTATAGCGAGGTGTTTCTCACCACCGTTGTTACTCAGTCAGTGTACTGAACAACAACAACAAACAAGGATCCATGTTCCCGGGTACCAGTAGGGCATTAAAATTCCCAGAGGAAAAAAAAAAAGAGGCAATGGCAGTCATTTCTGAAAGATAAGTGGAAGAGTAAGCGTTTGCCTCCAGATGTCTGTCTTTTATAAACAATGGAACCCAAGGCGGGATACAGCCCTTCAGCTTTTAAAAAACAGGTTTCTCTAAAAGAGGGTACTAGTTATAACATCTATTAACATTTATTCCAAATTGAGGAATGCCAACTTGTGCTGATCTATGGGCTTAGTTCTTTCTCTTCCTCCTCTAAAGTGAACATCCAAGAATTAATTGGTAAAGAGGGTTGGTTTGGTTTTTTTTTGCAAAGGTATAGAGGAAAGAACAGATCAGATGAAGGTAACAAATTCATAAAAATTCTGAAGCCAATGATTCATGTTCAAGTCTGCATTCCACAAAGCAGTTCTAACAGACATTGTACTGACGTGTTTCTTATACTGCTCTGGGCCAGCGCTTCAAAATCTGCAGTTGAGAAAGGGTCAGGAAAGATCTGCATAAGTAACTCTGTAGTTATGTTAAAGTTTCATAGGACTGACCTTCAGCCGGTCCATCTTCAGCAATAGCATTTGAAGCTGGGCTAGTTGATTTTTGTGTGGAAAAGACAATATGGTCAACTGGAATTTACTTCTGTGCCATGGATATTTAGTTGGCCAAGGGCAGTTGCGTATTCAGGAATTTTTTCCTTGTGATCTTTCTGTCTAGCAGCCACTGAGACAAGAAAAAACTTTCTGTGTTTTTTTCCTTCGCTACTAATCTTTGAGTTTCTCCACTCTCAGTTGTGGCCTTATATTAGAAAGTGCTCATAGTTTTAGAATTTAAATTGGTATTGCTTTATAATTCAATTTCTGGCTAGAGGAGAGAACACTTTCATTAATACATAAATGCATTTGTAAGCGTACCTGTAATTTCCTTTTTTTCTTGAAACTTTTTTAAAACCAGTGTTTATTTTGTTTCCTTAAATCAGGAGCATTTCAGTGCCAATGGCACTTCCACTTGAGTGGCAGCTTCCACGTGGAAGAGTTGTCACTCTTGTGTAAAGACAAGTTCCATGCTGCTGTCCTTTGCATAAAGCTGCAGAAACATCTGGATGCTGCCTTCTGCACTGGCTGGGAACAGAAGAGAGTCTGAGAAAGACAAGTTTTCTTCTTATGCACATCCTCACAAGGAACCAAGTGGCAGGCTGCCTCTGGGGAGAAGCATCAGAACAGTCTCTGCATCAGGAGGAGGAAAAAGCTAGGTTAGAGTTAGTAGAGTACTGAAACTCAGCTGCAAGATCCTGGTCTACTCTGTCTGGCAGACAAAATGCAGTGCAGCATGATCTTCAGTGCTCATCGGCTCTGGGGACAGGGGGGAAAAGCATCTGGGAGGGCTTTGAAAGACTGTGGCCTCTGTCTAGCACGTAGTAACCTTTCCTTCTATTTGCAGGCATTGATAGCAACTGATGACAAACAGTCTTTGGATAGTGATGTGGAGGTAAATCAACACAAAATGTTACGTCTGGTAAATTAACTAGTTGGAAGTATTTAAGCTTCAGCTTTTCTCCCTGTTTCTCTTGTGTATTCCAGGGAAGCGTGAAGCCCTTAACAACAACTCCTGTTTCCCCATTGCTGCGTGTCAACAACCTGTGGGAAGAGCACATTTACTCAGTGCTGCTAACCTCAGACCAGCATATGGAGCAGAGGAGCAGGGTGACCCATTAGCTCTCTAGCACAGTGCCTGTCTGTCAGACTCCTGCGGAACAGGTTACCCCTTGTGAATGAGTATGTTATGCTAGCGAAAGGGTTGAAATTAGCTATATGGCACATGCACATTTTGGACGGCTAGTCTGCCGAGTCATTGTGCTAGTGCAATAGCGCTGCGTGAAAATAACCAGCTGGAGTGAACTGCATCAGAAAACCTAGCACAGCAGCTGTTTAGTATTGCAAACAGATTTAAGCTGTTTTTTAAGTAAATGGTTTATGAAAATAAGCACCTTATTCCCATTTTGTTTATATTTCCATTTATTTTACAAGGCATCGTTTACACAATGATAACAGGTACTGATCCAAACAATTCTGTAACAATTAAAAAAGTAAACATTTGTTGTGACCATGTACATTGAATTGCACTTTTAATAACAAGCATTACACTTATATTTCCATATTGTACTTTATATAATACATGGATTTGTTACACAAGAACTGGCAGTACTGAATTGTTCTCAGTTAAATGTCTGATATCACTATGATGCTCCTTTTTCCTAACTCTATAGGGAAGTGTATTTTACAAACTTTGGGCACACCCAGATAACAAACAACTCCAGACTTGGTAAACTTCATTGTTAGAGAGTCAGAGCTTTGAAGCTGCTCTCTGTTTTCAATGTGCTGAAGTGAATCCACCTTGAATGGCAGACTGAGGGATCTGGATCCAGATCATGCTCGATTAGACCCTTTTCTGCATTCATGTGCCATCTTTTCCCAGTTCAGAGAAGCCACAGAATCTTCTTCCACGGGAAAGAAACAGTTCCCAAAGCTAGAGAGAGCTCCTGGCTCAGCTTTTGAAGGCGGTATCAGTAGCAGTGCAAGAGCAGGGGTTACTGGAAGGAGGGAATTGGGATCGGGAGAAATATCTGAGAACATCTGCTCTTGTTTGCATTGGTAGTACCATCCATGTATTATATAAAATACAAAAATAAGAGAAACTGAAAGGAAATTAGTACAGCCCAGGATTCTGGTGGTATCAAATCACAAATGAAATTTATGATACCAAATCCTTTTGATGTATTTATCCCCTTGTTATTCAGTTTCCTATATATTATTCTATATATAAGATATAGTTTTCCAAAGATACATATATATTCCTTTACAGGTTAAATAAAAGCAAGTCCCACTGAATAAGAAAATAAGAGGAAGTAATGTCCTAATTCTCTACCCATATCTTTTTTTCTTTTTCAGGTAAAAATAACATGAAGTACATTCAGTAGCAAAGCAGTTGGAATCCAGGGGAAATGGAGAGCCCTGTATTCCTGGAGGATTAACCTGTACATGTTAAGTCACAATCCTGAAATAAATTAGGTAGACTTCTGACTTGGGAAAGATAGGACCTTGATCAGTGCTGAGTATTATTTATCCAGTTGCAAATTCTTTGAATTTCTCATAATCCATCTATGGATTAGTCCAGCTTTGAAGGCTGCTGTGATGTATACCTAACCTAACCTGAAGGGTCCGAACTTGAGTGCTTCATTGTGTCTCCCCTTGGTATTATTACTTGGGAAGGAGGGACAGCTCCCAGTAGGATATTAGATGGAAAAATAATTTAGTTCAAGCCTTTGTGTTCAGAAGAATAACATGACACCTGGCACCATGTATACTCACAGCCCCGGATACCCACAGCATTACAAGTCTTGTGCAGCCAACTGTTTGCACAACAGCCCACTCTGCAGGGTTTGGCTGTAATGGGCGTGCTTGTCAGCCAGAACAGTCTCTCAGTCTTGAGAGAAAAATCTCTGCCCTGATCTTCACATTCCAACAGTAACATGTACTAAGGTTTTCTGTCTAGCAGTTGGAAGAAAACCAGCATTGTAAGATACGAGAGTTTCTGTTTTCAATGCCAAAGGTATTTAGGCTTACTAGATTATGCAGAAGTATTCCAATTATCCCTGAGTCTAACAGTAAATCAAAATAAGAGGTACAGTTCTCCCACACATACAAGTAGTTTCATGGATTTCACTGTAACTACTTAAGAGAAGGAAGGGAACAGCCCTACCTTTATCCTGTGGAGAAAGCATGACTTAGGTAGCTTCCAAGTTTTGATACGTCAGTGCCAGTGAATCCAGATTTTTATTTACTCCTAAATTGCCATATTCAGTCAGTGAGTGACATGATGACTCTGATGTCAACGCAATACTTCATGCTGTGTCAAGGGACTGAATTCTTGCTGTTCTTGACTTTCTTTTTATCTCCCTCTACCATTGTAAATGGCTCGGTTTGAGTTGGTTTTAACACAATGGCACAGATGAAAGCATCTATCTTAAAAGAAATTTCAAGGGCCAACCAAGAGAAGTCCTTTAAAATGTCTAACAACGAAAAAAAATCACTTACCTATGTAAGCAATTTAACTTAGCTGTAGCAATGTTAACTTAGCTGTAGCAAATGATATACTAATTAATGGGCAGGACAAGGATGTGTTTGTCCGCTGGCAGTACTGACTACATGGCTGACTACCTTTCCCGAGACTGGTTTTGCTAAACATTAATGCATATGGACCTCCGGGATTTTGCAGTTTCTTGGATTAACACCACATGTGATATTTTCTATTTTATTGTTTTTAATTCTCTCTGGGTACATTTAGAATTTGTTAAACTAGGTGAAATATGCCCTATTACTTTAGAATGTTAAGTCTGACTCACAAAGGTAATACAAGACTGGTTCACAGATGTACCATGTAACTAAATCAGCCTTGCTTCATTTATCCTGTAAAGTGTTACAGTCAAAGTAAAACCAACTTATTTTAAAAGTGAAAAAAAGTACTTTTTTTTTTTCCTCCATATTGGGCATCTCAGGAACAGATTAGAATCTAACAAGATAAAACAGTTGTACTGAAAATATTCCGTGGTTTGTCCATAATCAAAGTAAAAGCTTTCTTTCAGAACAGAGCATTCGCAATAAAATTAAAAAATAAGATTTAGTTCCACATATATATTCATAAAATTCAAATTACTTTTAATATGTTTGATGTGGACACATAGTTTAATACTGACTCAGGAAAAAATATTAATAAAAATTTTAATCACTCTAGACTTAGAAGCTCTGTTAGCTGTTCCAGTGCCACATGAAAACAAAACTTTCAGTGAGACTTTGATGACGTTTCCTAAAAAAAAACTGAAAAGCTAAACAAAGAGCCAGCATCCCTGACAGATTAGTTGGTCTGGGATATGTGTGCACATACCTCTGTCACACACTGCTGAAAGGGCTAATTAAAACCCAGATTGATTTTTTTTTTTCATAAGGAAGCTAAGTATCCCAATCGCATGTACAGACAGCAGGTGGAACTTTAGCTTGCCCGGTTTAATCCTGCAGTCTTGCACTTTTCCTTGTTTCCGAATACAACTATGCTTATTCATCAAGATAATGCCATAGAGCTATTTTCTTATTCTTTCAGTAATTTTGAGAAGACACAGTTTCCACGTAAATTTTACTCTTCCAAATGCCACTGCTACAAATGCTACCTTGGATCTACAGACGGAAGGTGAAAATTGTTTGCTGCCTTTATGTCATTGCCAAGAGTGATAATGTGGCCATTGCCTTCTGAAACCTTTTTTTTGCTGATGTAAGTCAGCTTCCATCCTACAAAGTTTTGAAATCATCACGGCTAATAGGTAGCAAACGTGCTTTTGTCACAGAAACTCAACTTCCAAAGTCAGAGAGCTGTTACACCGAGAAAGATGATGATGCGCCAAAGTCAGTCACCATGAAACATGGTGAGCTTATTTAACAGTTCTTTTTTGATGAACTGGGGAACTCCCACTCCCATGATTTGCTTGCACTCATTGGACCCTTTGAGAGGATTTAACTCATTAACTTGGCAAAAGGCTAACCGGGGGGGGAAAATCCACCCACATCTTTTTTGTATTTTTAATCAGCTCCAGTAAGTGCCATAACAAGGACAGCGACATGACTGTACAACAGGGAGCTGGAGGGGTGAGGTCTTTAAGCAGCAGTGAGCTGTTATGTGAACTCAGCTACTCAGGGAATCAGTCTCAACCTTTTTTTTTTTTTTTACGTGAACTCAGCTACTCAGGGAATCAGACTCAACTTTTTTTTTTTTTTAAAAATTATTACTGCATTTTTCCAATCAAGGTTTTAAATCCACTTCTAAGTATGATATAAGATAAATGAGAAATTCGGACACTTGTCAAACCATCAGTATCACTCATCGGCACAGTGCACTCAAATGTAACAATCAAATGTATGCTTAAATGTCAGTTCAAATGTATTATGCAGTTTATTTTAAGTGTGAAACAGTACTGGTAAGTGAATGACTAATGCTAAGTTTAGACAGTCAGGAGAATGGAAACATTTATGGCAATATTATTAGCAAGAAAGTGACCAGGGAAAAAGGTCTTTGTTAATATTTGCAAAAGAATTTCCTTCTGCTTTTTCTCACCTTTTTTCTCACTGTATTAATATTTCCAGATAATCACTGTTCTTGCAGATACGTTGTAAAATATTAACATTTTTTAACTCCTTACTCTTAGAAGACAGAATTTCGTTGCAGGATAGTTGTGTCAGGACAGTGGTTATATTTTGATCACTACTTTAAACAGCTGACTGCCTTTCAGAATCATTCCTTTGGCACAGGTAACATTAAATTTATACTACCCTGTTTAAAATAACTCACAATTATGCTTGACAACAAAGCACAAGATGGGTATCATTAAATTTTATTGTACAAAACTGACAAGGTATGGCATTCCTTCGAATTAAAAAAAAAAGATCAAAACACAACTAATGTCCCTGGAACAATTTTGTAAATGGAACAATTAATACACAACCTTTAGTCCAGCAATGATATTTACCTGCAAGACCATCTTTAGACATGACAGGTATAATTAAAAAAATATTCCATCAGTTCAAGCAATAGTTTAATTTTGCATGAAATAAGTATTTCTATAAACACTTTATGTTCAATCAAAACAAATGCTTTTGAATTTTCTTACCTTAAGAGATACAAAACAATCAGATTTGGGAATCATCAGAGAAGTCTACCCCAGGGGAAAGTCTAGGTTTTGTATTCCACTTGAAAATGTCTGTTTTTATAAAAATAAGTAATACCAACATAGCATTTCCTAACCAAATAGTTCTAGCAAACAGATCTTGCTTCTGTGATGTTTTATTCATCAGTGCTGCACAAGCCTTTGGGTTTTTTATTTGATACCTCATTTCTGTGTCAAATTCAGAATTTGAATATAGACCCAGGGAAAAGTTTTCATTAATTTTATTCATAAAACCCACCCTTTATTGCACAGGATTCACAAAAGGTCAAAACTATGCAAGGTCTTCGCTCTGCTTCTCAGCAAAACCATCAAATAAATGTTGAACAGTTTTCTCTTTATCCCAGTGGAAGAAATTATTTCTTGGAATTCTTAGTATAAACATGAAATAAAAAAGGGAACTAGATAACTTTATGTTAAATTCCAGTTCAGCTGTAAATAGCCTTTAAACAACAGTGCTACAAAGAACTGCACTACTTGCATTTCTGAAGAACAAACAATCAAAACTAAGAAAATACCAGGGAAGCTCATAAACGATTGTGCCAAGACAGCACAAGACTATCTTTGCTATGGCCTAAGCTTTACAAAAAGTGCTTCTCTGCAGGACGCAGTCACTGCGATAAACTTCTGAGATGGTCCCAGGGCGGAAGTTATCCTAGACACCCGCACACACACTAGTACTTATTACACTGTGCTTTCTATGAAGAGATTATGCTTCAGTACTTTACATTTTCCATTCTCTCTCTTCCTCCAGAAGAAGAAAAAACCTTCTATGCAAGATAAAAATAATTTCGAATAATTAGTCAGGTATTAAAGACCTAGTTTTGAAGTATTTATTTAACATCTAGTCATATAAAACAAAGTGTAAAAGTATGAAGGTATCAGAACGTGGCTTTCAGCAAGGCAGTTTGGGAAGTAAGAATTCAACAGAAAACAGGAATTATTTTTTCCCCTTTGAAAAGGGTCACATCAGAATGAATGAAAAACACCGAAGAATTTCACTTCAAGCCTGCACTCCTGCCTTTTGTCCTTTCCCCAAGAGGAGAGACCACTGGAAGAATCCTCCAGGGTTTCAGTTGTGTTGTTCTTTGTGCTCTTGTATCGGGTCTGGCCGGAACTATGTACTGCCCTCTTTGGGTGGCAGGGGTGGCTGAGGCTGCTGCGGTGGCTGTGTGCCTGTGGCCGTTTTGATAGAGTTCAGGGTTTTGCTAAACCAAGAGTTTTTGGCAGCTTGGATTTCATTCATAAGGGCTCCTCTCTGGTGCTCCAGCTCCTAAGAAAGCAGAATAGTCAGAATTGATCAAAACCTCATTCATTAACAAAAAAGCATCCTCAAACTCAGTCCCTGCAATCCAGCACTTTCCTTTGTAACCTCCCAGGCACTGGCGAGAGAAGACAGGTTGAAATTGTGGAAACGGCAGAAGATACTTAAATATACAAATGAAAACCTCTTTTCTTTTTTTTGTGTGTGGGTTTTTGGGGTTTTTTTGTGGTGTTTTTTTTTTTTAAGACAGGAAATCGTTCTGGAAGTTCACAGGTATACAGTGGTACAGGTATATGCTCCTTTTTGGAACAACTTTTTGCAGGGTTCAGAATTATTTTGGACTGAGCACAACGGCATTAAGGACACTGCCCTGCTGTACTGGGATGCCACGTACCTGAATTTTGCACTTGGCTTCCACAAGCTGCAGTTTGGTCTGTGCAAGCTCCAGCTCCATCTCTCTCAGCTGCTTCTTCAGTGCATCCTTCTCATCATCTGTTTCTATGCCTTTATTCTCCATGCTTACAGCAGGCAGCTTCAGTGCCCCCTCCTTACTGAAAATCTCACTGCAGTGTTTGCAGGCCATCACTTTACCCTGAAATACCCAGAAAGCTCATTTTTAATCCATGTAACAGGAGTTGCTGTGCTTCCTGGAAGAGCCATTTTTATGTTAGACTGCTTTTCTGTCAGTAATGCTCCAATTATCTAGTACTGTAGTTTTCATATTTGACATGAAAAGAATTTGAGAAGTTCATGAACAATTTCCAGGGTATATTAACCAGTATAAAAATTCCTAAAATCTACTTAACATTCCTAAAATCTACTTTGCTTCTAGATTAGTCAAGCCTTCTTGCTACCAAAGCTTTGTAATATTTTGCAGTATTTATGCCAGTACAATTCAGAAGACTAAATTACACTCTAGGGATTTTTCGTCTTCCATAGAAGCATTTGACCAAACTAATACAAATTTTGATATTTTAAAGAATGCCAGGTAGCTTTTCCATATTTCCAGAAGTAAGCGAGCAGCCTGTGCTCACTGCAAGGGCCAATACTGTCCTGTTGGTGCTTGTTTAGCATCATCATAAGGGTTGTCCCGTTTTGCCAATGATGTCTGGCACACAACAATAAGGTTCTTGTGCTACCTGGAGAGGTGAACCAGTTACTCATGGCTGAAGATGTAGCACAACTGGCCTGGCTTGCACAAACTAAAACGGGATATTGAGCTATTTCAGCAGATTATAGGAACATCAAGCCTAGAATATTTTTTTTATCGATACCATAAAAAAGTCACTAAAAACCAACAAATCAGGTTCCGCTTGAGCACTAAACAAACAACTAGAAGCTATAGCAGAGGGAAAACAATTCTGCCTACTCAATAGTGACAAAGCAGAGGGATGGAATTATTATCTGATCAGGGCATGTTTACCTCTAGTCCAGATGTTCCTGGTAAGGGCGTTTAGAGAAGAGACAGGAACTGCTGTGGAAATTCTGGGCATGGCCCAAGCTGTGCCAATTACTTAAACCAACTCTGCTTAAATTACAGAAACCCAAATATAAATGTTGTCCAATTCTGCCAATTCTGACTCCTCCGCTGTGCCCACTGGAGAAGCAACATGTTTTCCCTGGAGCGCTTTTATTTTTTTCTCCATTTGGTTAAAACAACCTAGTAAATACTGTCTCTCTACGTTTGTTGCTAAAAGTATACATTTCAACAGGAAAAAGAAAAGCCAAGTACGATATGCACTTCAATTTGAGAGTTCTACCCTGTCTGATACAAGATAAAGAAGGGAAATAAACCCTTTCATTGTTTACATCTGATGAAAAATGCATGTGGGGTATCAGTGCAGCTGGGTGGACACTGCTGCTGTTACGTTAAACTTCAATTCACGTTTTGTTCTGTATCCCTGGCATTTAGCAATACTTTGGTTAGAAACATCCCATATGCAGAGGCATCATTCTCACCTTCACAACTTCCAGTTCATCTTTACTGGCTGCTTGTTGTTTTTCCAGCCTGGTACTCAGCTGGGAACAAATCTGGAGCAGAGAAAACAGACTTTTAGCTAAAGTTTATTATACTAAAATACAACACGTGCTTTTTAACAATGATTTTTGTTAAAGACAACATTTCTTAAATTCTGCATTGCTCAGGCGTATGCGTTCTCCCTTAACAAATCCACTGCTGTTGATAATGAGACCAAAAAAAATGGCAGTATTCAATACAGAACCTGAACAGAGACTGGAACATTTTATGGATTGATTGGTTTATAATGTTTATACTGCATTATGTCACAGAGTAAAGAAGCATCCACCCTACAGTACTAAAATTAGCTGAAAGAGGTTATTCCTAATTCCCTAAATTAGGAGACTGGAAAACCACAGAAAAAATTACAACAAATTACAATGCTCGCTCTCTGAAAGCCTGAAACGTAGTGTATCTTATTTAAAGGATGAGACCTGCAACTCTGAAAATTCAGCTCTCAGAACAGGTTGAAAGAAGAAATATGAGAAAGTGTCTCTAGAACAGTACCTGTTTATACTCTGCAATAATGGCTGTGGTTTTCTTGATCTCAGATTCTGCCTTCTCTAGCTGCTTCCTGAAGACTTCCTTCAGCTAGGAATTGAAGGAGAGAATTTACACAGTACACTGAAAGAAATTCTCAAAACGCATCATCAGATTGTTCTCTCAAGGTCTTGCTGTGTTTACAACAGTTCCACAGCTTCTTCTTACCACATTCCAGTTCTTCAGACAAGCGTCTGATTTACTCAGCATACAAATACTTATTATATTCGGTTATAACCAAGAAGTCTATACTGTTATACAGTGTATCTCTGCTTAGAAAATTCTCCTCTAGGGTAATTCTCTTTGCGTTAAATGGTGGTAGAGTGTGGTCCACAGAACACAAAACAAGAGCATTACTACTAAGTGGGTTTTACTGATTTTGTTTTTGTTTTTCTGCACACTGTCACAGCAGGTACAGGCAGACAGATTATTTGTTTGTTTGGAGATGGAACAGAGAGAAGAATCTCTCAGCACTATCGTTCTCATCTCCATAAAAGGAGACAAAAATCTGTTTTGGTCTGTGACAGGTCAAAATACAGCTAAATCATTCCTCCCTCATTCAGAACCACTAAATTTTGAGAGCCCTTTCAGTAGGAAAAAGGCCTCCACTGTCTTGTTTATAGCAAACAGAGAACTTGGCAATCTCCATTTTAGAGAGACACAAATAATTACTGTTTGATTGTTGCAGTCACCGTTGTCAAATGGCAAAAATAAAAATCAGGGTATCACTTTTAAAACATACTTTCATGTGTATTCAGTGATTGAAAAACTAAGACTGAATATTTTGTAAACAAGTATGAGGCCAGGTCAAGTCAGCAAAATTCTCCCCACCCTCAACTGTTCTGCTGTTGGTTCTAGCTTCAGACAGGGACATTCACAACTTTATTTCAGTGAACCAGCAGCTGAATCCAGAATGGTCTCTGGTAAGGCAACAACTGCTCCAACTGTTGTTTAGATAATTTAAAGAGGTCTGATCATGTCTCCTTAGTTGTGATTGCTCACCACCAGTGAAAATGATTATTACAGAATCACAGAATTTTCAGAGTTGGAAGGGACCTCTAGAGATCATCTAGTCCAACTCCCCTGCTAAAGCAGGATTGCCCAGAGCACATTACTCAGGACTGCATCCAGGCAGGTTTTGAAAATCTCCAGAGAAGGGGACTCCACCCCCTCCCTGGGCAGCCTGTGCCAGTGCTCTGCCACCCGAACTGTAAAGAAGTTTTTCCGTGTGTTGGAACGGAACTTCCTATGTTCCAACTTGTGCCCATTGCCCCTCGTCCTGTCACTGGGAACCACCGAGAAGAGTGTGGCTCCATCCTCCTTCAACCCACCCTTTAGATATTTGTAAGTAGTAATAAGGTCTCCCCTCAGCCTTCTCTTCTCCAGGCTAAAGAGTCCCAGCTCTCTCAGCCTTTCCTCATAAGGGAGGTGCTCCAGTCCTTCAATCATCTTAGTTGCCCTTCGCTGGACTCTCTCTGGTAGTTCCCTGTCCCTCTTGAACTGGGGATCCCAGAACTGGACACAGTATTCCAGTTGCGGCCTCACCAGTGCCGAGTAGAGGGGGAGAATGACCTCCCTCTACCTACTGGTCACACTCTTCCCTATGCAGCCCAGGATTCCATTGGCCTTTTTGGCGACAAGGGCACATTGCTGGCTCATGGATAATTCACTATCTACCAGGACCCCCAAATCCTTCTCCTCAGAACTACGTCCCAGCAGGTCCACCCCTAACCTATACTGGTGCCTAGCATAAGGTATGGAAAATAGAACATTCAGAGCTCAAGTAAAGGAAAAAAAAACACTAAAACCCCTACTTTTTTAAAAAAAAACATTTACCCTGGCACTGTATATTTTTAATTGCCACTACATTTTGAAGACAAAATCCTTTCCACAGTTGCAACACATTCATGCTTTTCTGCGTATCCTTTTACTTGCTTGTCCTTGCTAAATGGGAAAAGTTGGAGAATGCCTTACCTGAGCAGTTTCCTCTTCCTGCTTCCGTTTCTCTTCTTCAGTCTCTACTAGCTTCTGTTTGGTCAGGAGAAGTTCCTTGTTCAAAACATCCGCTTTGTCTTCAGCCTAGAATTAGAAACGCTGGCGTAAATCAGATGTTATCTGTGCCAATACAAATGTATTGGTATATACATCTCAGAAATATTGCAGATTCAGGTTCTAGCATTGCCTTTTCCTGCCCTCTGATGGCTCACCTAACCAATTTTTTATATGAAATTCAGTTTCCAAGTAGCTATTTTCTAAGTTATTTCACTGTGTTTCAACAACTGTTCAAAAGGACCCTTTGCCATGTTTACCTATGCCCAGGTGGCAAATAAGTATAGATACTAAGTCCTAATACAAACCTAACACAAACAACGATGTATAGAATATTTTTGTTGGGAACAATATTAATCTAAGCAAGGGCAGCATGATTTAGGTCCTTTGTAACTTCAGATTCCATTTTTGTATCTGTCAGCGGGGAAACCAGATAGATGGTGTAGAAAATGTTACGTGCCTGCACTGTACCTTACAAAGTATCCTGGCGAAGACAAGTATAAAAGAGACAAACAGGACCTCCAGATAAAACTGTTTGTTTATTAGTGCAAATAAGTATTATCTGGAGAAAACTGATACTATGCGTCTACTGGAGAATATGAATTTTCTCCTTTCTTTGAAGGGCCAAGCTTATGGTGAAACATACTGGGAATGCTTTGGTTTTGTGAGCACTATCCTCACCAATCATCAGGAGAGAAATGTATTTCCCAATGTCTGGATATAATCTGTTGACCTCCCCAAATGGGAGATACACATTGCATCAAACCCTCCTTTTGTTCAGTAACTAGGTGCTAGAACAGGCATGGGTTGTGGTCAAATAGTACTTAGTTTGCTGAAAATACAAGAGGGAAAACGGCATTGTACACAACAAATAACAGTACAGAGCTTGTCTCTGGGTTGCAGTTTGTTTTTCTACCACTACCAGTGGTGTTAGCTTATCTATCTGCCACAGTGTTAATTATTAATGAGGGTGTTAGTGGCGATTGTCGGTAGCAGAAGCAGCTCTACCAGGGCCACGACTGAAGAGATGAATTGAGGATTCCTGCATTGCTGAGTGTGTATGTGGCTGTATGGGAGAAAGGAAAATGAGAAGTGGAAGAATGGAAAATTGATAAGATTGACATCTTAGAACAAAAGAACTCGGGGATGACAAAGATATTTTAGATGAAAGACTTGTTTAAGATATGCTTTGATGGAACTACAAATATTTCCTCCTTTTATGTGTTCATTCCAGGTTCTCCAGGCAGCTCAGTGGTGTACAGTATCATCTGTCCTCGCAGATGAGGAGTGCAGTAGCACAAAGCTTTTCTTTCAGTGCCCATGTACTGAGGCGGGGTGTGGGGAAACTTCATGGAGCCACTCTCATCTACAGAAAGACTGCTAAAATGCAGCAGAGCAAGGAACGGGACTGGCAAAGGTATATGCTTGGCAGCCGTGTCACGATACTTGAAAAAAAAACAAGCATGGGCGGCAGCAGATGTAAAGCTGCTTTATGGGGGAGATAGAACACTCTCCTGGGGAGATAGAGCACCTCAACACATTGCTTTTGGCCTTCACATTGTTGTCCTGCCTGCGTTTGCTCACCAAGACAGCTCAGATTTTTAGAATCACATGGATCCGAATCAGCAGAGCCTAACTGTCAAGGATCTGCCTAATCAGAAACACAAATTGCACAACTGTGATGAATGATGTTTACAATTCTGCAGTTAGATATAGAAAGCCAAATAACTACAGGAAATCAAATTGAGAGGCTCTTGCAAGAAAAGATTTTACATCATAAAAGGCAGTACAGCCCTCACTGAGCAAGGGACTGATCACGAGGTGTGGTGGAGTATGGCCCTCATGTATTCATACCTTAATAATAGCTGCTAAAACACTCCAGAAAGAGGAGGGTTGAGTGTGTAGTTCTCTGACAGCCTGAGAAAAAGGGCTCTGAATGCTGCTACCCTCCACATCCCAGTCTTCACAGGAAACAAAAAGTTATCAAAGGACACCGAGGAGCCCTTCTAATTTTTGGTGCCATGCCACTTCATTATCTCTGAATTTTGTTGGCTGTACTAAAACTGCTGTGAAAAACTGATCTACATAAGGCGGTAGACATTCTGCAAAGCAACTTCCCTTGAAATTAGTCTTTTGAAGAGTATGTGATACCTTTTTCAAGTAAATGTTCATTCTTTGGTATCTGCCTAAAGGTTATGGCTTACATTTTCTGAAACAATCCACAACAGAGAAGGTGCAGCCAGTGATGTTAAGACTCCACTGTGAATGGCTACAGTTCCACATGCGTGTGGAAATCTGGCTTTCTGACTGCAACTAGAAGTGAAGTTGTCAGGAAAATAAAGGCACAAATAATTATACTTTTAATGTTGCGTTCACGCTTTCACTTGAACACAAAGCAGGGCTCCTAAAATTGGTGTTGCCAAGCCTGAGCTGGGACCCATCTCTATTAGCGTTACCTGGTCCAGGTCATTCCGTAAGGCAATTTTGCTTGTTACAAGCTCATGGGCAAGGTCATCGTTCTCCTGCTCCAGCCGCATGCTTGCTTCTTGGAGCCTGCGGTTCTCCCTCTGCACAAAGAAAGGAACAACCAGAAAAGGAAGTTAATCCTTATCAATATTAAAGAGCAGTAAGAGAGTGTATTGTGTGTGTAAAACACCAAGAAGGCAAGAGTGCACATTAAGACAGGACTGCTGCTCTGGGAAACAACAGTGAATTAAGCCAGCAGTGCAAATGCAGCGATTCCATATACATCCTGATGGTTATGTTTGCGTCACGTAAGTGACACACTGATTGTAGGGTTTCTCTGTCAAAAGTAAACACAGTCCTCTCCACAAAAGCACTTGGTTTCTGCTTGCTCATCATGGAAAGAAATTAGGCAGATAGAATCCCACCTAACAGCAGTGAACAGGGACCAATTAAGAGATACTCATAATAAGAGATACTCATGTTTCCAATTGAAAGTAGAAAGCTGTCCTGCTCCACTTCACAAATTTTTGTCTGCAGGAATCCGTAAAAATAGTCCATTTTGTAGATGACGTAGTGGCAACTTCCCATCTTCTGTGGGACCAGTAGAGAACAGCATTTAGCAGGGAACTCCCTGCAGCTTGTAAATGTGTATTGCCATTTGTGCACTTTCTCTGTAACTTGTGCCAGTGACAACAGTGCACATTTTACAGGATACCTGCTGAGAAAAAGTGCCAGATGGAGAGGGGACCTCACTCCCTGAGCACAGGCCCAGAACCTGCTCGGTGGGCGATGCATGGCAACATAAAATGCAAAACTTCTAGACTGCATGCCCTGGTCCTCACCGCACTGCACTCCCTACCCACTCTGCACAGGCAGAAGTGACTACGGAGAGAAGGTAAGTACAATGGAGAAGAATGAACAGTAGTAATTCATGATTTTAAGAATCGGTTTCAGTGACTGTTCTTCTATGGCTGAGGAACAGAATCATATTTAAAAGATGTTTGTGGGTCAGTGAACTTCCAGGAGTCCACATCAAATACAAATCTTCATCTTCAGAAGAACACAGCCAGCTGAGACAGATAGAGGTGCCCTCCTTTAATGGATTTTAAGACAGCAAAAAATGTGCTGGCCTTCAGTCACACAATGACTGTGTATCTTTCATACCAGAGGAGACTGCAAAGGTCTGAGAGAGCACAAGAGACTGTGTGCTATGGAAACTCAAGAAAAAAACACCAAGTTCATATGGAAACTCACAGGTGGAGGAACAATAACCTAACATGCTCAGATTTCAAAAAGGACCTGTGCTCACTTGAAAGGTAAGTTATGTTCTCCAAGAAAAACAGTAAACGTGAATAAATAGCAGCACTTAAGGCAGCAAAAAACTTCCAAGAGGCATTCAGTGAATCCCTTCCTATAAAATGTGGCTTCTTTGCATAAGCACATTATTCACCTGTTTTCACTTCCTCCTGCTCGCCAGCTATGTTCAGATATTTTTTTCTTTCCAAACTCACCACCATGAAACTGCAATTTTCATTTCTCTTGCAAGAAGATTTTGCATGTTTGTCTTAAACAAAAAAGGACAACTACAGCTCTAAGAGGATGCTAAAAAAGGTCTCTTCTGTGTGGGAGCTTCCTCTGTGGCAGGAAGCAGAACCTCTGCAAATACTCTCTATTGTGCAACGAGACTATTCACTGCCCTGTACAGGAAAGTAAGTTTGTTTCCTTTCCAAAAGATTGTACTTTAAATAACTTGCTTTGTTACAGGAACTGTAAATAAAATACTTTTGTTTTAACACAGTTAAAATAACCACTGCTAAAAGACGCATAACTTTGGGGATCATTTTTATTTTAATTGCACTGTATTCTGTTTGGGACAAGGATTTTTTTAAAGTAAAATTCTTCTGTAAGGATAAGATAAACTTTGAAGTGTAAAACCAAATTGCAGTGTTTACTACTACTACTACTACTAATCAACATAATTTTAAAAGGTTTTAATGTGTCTTTATTTCTGTATTTTGTTCAGACCATCTTGGAAATGCTGATTTTTACAGACACAGCTCTGCCAGCGAGCAGTTGTCAGAAAGTGACTTGAGCTCAGCTAAAAACTGGGACCAGATCAGACCGGTAAGAACGGTATTGCTGCCAGGTGCTGCAGCACCAATACCTTTTCAGAGGGATGTTGCTTAGAGGGAGAAATCAGCAAATTCTTAAGACTTCCACAGAATAACCCAGAAAGAAGTTTGCTTTAACATTTTTGCTATGCTTTTGCCGAAAGCTTCAGTGTCTGCAAAGCAAGCTGCACAATGTGAAGTTCGAAGTTCCTGCTTTGCATTCGCAGACAAGTGGGTAAGCAAGCTATGTGGTTGGAAATGCGCTATCCTCCTCTTAAACTAGAACTTACATGGCACGTTTTTAGTAAGTTAAAGATCTCTTACCTTGGGCATCCAGTCAATAGCTAAGAGATGGTTTTATCTCGTTCACCATACTTTCAATTTCCAGCTGAAAGTCTCTTATAGGGCCACCTTTACTCTCCCTCCACACAGGGCAGTATGCGCAATTAGATGGTTTGTCTTTTCCAGCTCCTCCCCCCAGATCTAGCAGTGAAAAACTGCCTCCTTCCTCAGGAGGAAACTCTTAATCTGCTTAAGTCTAAATAAAACCTAACAGTTTTGGGTTTTTTTACACAGTAAAGACAAAAATAGCAAATAGCTTTTTTCATATGCAGCAAACTATTTCCAATGGCTCTGAAATATTTACAGGGTTTTACAAAATACCATTCGCAATGGCATAAAGTTCAACAGATGGAGCTGGTTTGTTACAGCAGGACTCACATCACAGACAGCATTTTGTAACCTAGCATAAGCCAACTTGTCAGACCTGCTAGTTGTCCTTAGCGTAAACAGACAGCTTCCTGCCTTTTCTCTACACATCACTAACAATTTGCTATGACAATTATTTCCTTCTCTTCAGCATTACTCAGTTTCTAAGGTCAGTAAAATAAGAGATTCCTCTTTCCAAAATTCCTCCTTTCTGTTACAAAGGCAGCTGGTGAACTCCGATTAGCTTTTAAAAGGAGGATACTGCATTTCCAAAAAGGGACAAACACTGCTGATACATACAAACACAAATAAACTTACCTCCTGTAAAGTCACAGACCAAATACTGCTTTCAACCATAGGTGTAAAGACAGTGAAAACAGGATATAAAATAATTTTTAATACCAACAAAGACAGCCAAAAAAAAATGTTGCTGATTCTTCAGTGGGTTTTTGGTTCTGAGTTTTAAAGAGGATATACTCCAGCTTCCATCACACTCTGGATGGAAAGAAGGCGGCAAATTTGAAAGCAGCAGGCAAGCCTCAGCTCAGGAAGACTGAAAGGCTGAACTCCACCCTCTGCTCCCTTCCAGTCAGCCCCAAGGGGCAATTCCTGACAAGATTAGTGGCGATGATGCATCCTCTCTGTCCTGCTACTCAAGTGGGGTGTAACACATCACAAACGTTGTTAAGCAATTCAGTGTCACAGTTTCTGATGAGCAAACACCCAAACCCCAGATCTCTGGGCATCAACAGATCCTCAATGGTGGAATGAAAATACTGATTAAAATGCACTTTTCTGGATGTGAGTGAACTGAAGTCTTCGTAAGCCCATTGGAAAGGGCTCTTGATTGTGGAGAAGCACTGAGGGAAGACCCTGTGAACCTCCATCTAGAAACACAAAAGGCTTTTACAGCAAACTATCCAGGAAAACCTCTCATGGGAAGCAACACAGAGGCTCCTGGAGGTGGTTTGTGTTTTCTGTTTGTTGACTCTGGAGAAGCATTCCCAGAAGTGCCCCAGCACACTTTTTCTAAAAACCACAAACAAACAACGATCCACATCAAGAGTTATGTTTTCCCTCATGATGGTTACCATTCAGTTACCATGACTCTGAACAAAAGTGACCAGTGTATTAACTTTTGCTTCCACTTCAAACATGCAAAAGGCTATTATGTCCAAATTACACATTTATTCAGACAGACAACTTCTCTGTTGCACAACAACATCCACAGAGAAAAAGGCGTTTCTACTCTCAGAACAGAACCGTGTGCACAAGCAGGGTCTGCTTGCAAAACTCCATCCCTTATTTGTATGGTTATATCCTCTTTATTTTAAATCAAAAAGTCACAAGTCCAACTCTGGCAGCTTCTCATCAAGTCAACCAAAAGCCTGTTACATGAGATGTTCTCAAACACAGAAAAAAACCCCATAATATATATTAAAAAAAAATCTCAACTATATTGCTATTTTTTCTGCACATGCAACTCATTTTTATTCCTGACTTCTATAGGAAATTTGTAATTTATTTTAACCAAAAGTCATGAAATTCAGTGACAAACAGTAATTTAGAACATATTTACTTTTGCATCTTTTAGAAAAACCTATCTGACAAAAATGTGAATGATAATTTGTTATAAGCAGTGGAAAATAAAGTGAAAGGGTGCGCATAAAAAAAAATACTGTTTTTCTAAATGATTCTTGTAAACACAGAAGGAAACAAACACCAAAAATAATGGCACTCTAATACTGTTATTTTGACGTAAGTCAAATCACAATCAACATGTAAAATACGAGCTGGGCAGGAACTCCTGTGGCACGTAACACAGCTTATTGTAGCATATTAATTTAACCTGTCAAGAAAATGCAACTAGTTAATGGCAGCCTATGGAGAGTTTGGGGTCGGTGGGACTGGAGGAGCACAAGTCCCTGCCTGGAGGTACCCAGCTGCCCTCAGGCAGGAAGCATCTCTTTCCTGGCATTTCACAGGGGGCTGCTCAGCCCCACCGTCCCCATGCTTGGGAACACCTCTGGGACCCAAGCGGTGGGAAGGAGAGGAAGAAGCGTGGCTGTGCTCCCACACTGCTCTGGTTCAGTCCTGGTATCCCCTGGATGCCCGGGTGAAAGTTAGACCCACACATGAGAGCTGCATCAGCTCCAACGAGTTCCCTTTGCACCACTTACAGCACAGCAGGGATGGACCAGGAGGAAGAGATGGCAGTTCAGCCGGAGCTCCACTGCCATTGCCGTGGCTGCTCCCACCCCACGCATGGCCCATCTCCTACTCTCAACAGTTCATCAAGCCATTGCCACTGAGGGCCAGGTCACAGGGAGGTGTCTTACTCAAGACATCCTTCATCACTGCAACTCAGAAATGCCAATGTCTCTGTGGTCCTGACAAATCTGTATTGGCAATAAAAACTGTAACGTGCTGCAAACAACAAAAACTCTAACCTAAAAACTATCAACAGACTGAAAGCCTCTTTCCTTCTTGACCTATAAGAGGAATATGCTGCAGGGATCTCCACTCCAGCAATCCCATCTAAGAAACATCCCCTTCCAGGGCAGTAAAGCAAAAGCTCGTTTTGTTCTGGGAAGAGAAACTGTAAAAATTACAATGTGCCCTTCAGGGCACAGCCCACACGGAGAGTGCACAAGGCCAGAGGGAGCTAACAGCAGTGCTGCGCTCAGAGGCAATACTGGCTTTTCAGTCCTTTCCCAAACCAAGCCTGGCTGGGCAAAGCCTAGCACTGATGCTGCCAAATTGAAATGCATTTCTAAACACATGGGCTGCAGAGCGATCATTTAAGGGACAAGCAAAGTTGGCTCTCCGCTTTCTGCCTGTGAGGATCCACACAGCTTGTGTTTCTTGTTGCCCTTTGGAAACACTCTTGAAATGTCGATTCCCACCAACCTCAGCTTGACACATTAATAAAATCAAAAAGGCAAGACAAGGAACAGAGAGCACTTACAAGCATTTCTCTATGACACCCATCAGCTGAAGAATGCATCCGAACTTTGAACTTAATGTGCAACTAACCAGTTACAACCACTCTCTCTAATCACAGCATTGCTAAGAAGATCAGACCCAATCCGGCTTAATAAAAAAAAAAAATAAAATCACACAATGAGTTTCAAAAGTTCAAGCCAAAACCCCAAGCTGTGATCTTGACTGTGACAGTGACTCACATAAACAGTGGCCAAAGAGTCACTTTCCATGTCCTCATTTGCAGCTTGGGGATAATGTTCTTCACCATCCAGCGCCCAAGATTAACTAGTTAATATGCTTCCGCAGAGGTTTCATGAAGCCTTATTTGTTTTCTAAGTAGTTAATTCCACAGTACTATAAGCGAACCACTGGAAAAATACTTCACAGCAAATTTTGTTTTTTTCTGAGTATGTCATACTCACTATTGGCTCCCAGCTGCTACAGCAATCCTAGTTCTCACAAACAATAAAATCTACACCCTTTGACATCAAAAGAACTATACTCAAAACATATTTTTTCGCAGGTAAATACTTAAAAAGAAAAAGGCAGTTTTACTTTCTCTGTACCTGTGGCTTTATCTTGTCACATTTATGAATTACGGCATAGTCTTTCACTTTAGATTTTCTTATTGTGGTTTTCTGAACATAGTGCACTTTCCTTATGTTCACAGACCACGTAAACCTGTTGCACCTGGTATGATTATTGACTACTCCACACTCCTTATAGACTCCGTACCAACTGCAATGTCACTTAATATATTAAGGCACAACGAAGAACAGCAGGAAAACAGTACAGGTATATATAAGCAACGATAATTCCCAGCTAACCTGGGCAACAGGCAGTAAAGTGCATCATCTCTGGCAGCTTCACCTAAAGAAAACTGAATTTTTCAAAACAGGGTAAGCAATAAATGGATCCTGAACACTAAGTGGAGTATACGCCTAGAGGCAGAGCCTCCATCACACAAAAATCGATGGCAACAGAATGTAGCAGTGACAATAAAAGCAAATACATTGGAAAGATAAGCAATGCTGATCCAAAATTAAAGAACCATTCTTCTTTGGTGAACTATCAAGCTATCATATTAATAACTGAACTTCTATTTCTCTGCTGCTTTAAAGCAGGATATTTATGACTATTAATTCTGTTGCAGCAGTACCTTGGGACCCCAGCAGAGCTCTGGGTCCCACCGTACTAGACATTATATTAACAAAAAATTACTAACGCCTGATATAAACAGAGATGAATAGCAAGGATCATGTCAGTCAAGGAAGAGTTCATCTTCCAAAAGTCTCTGTGGATGCCACTGCACACAGCTTGTGCTAGAGCAATGTGTATTTTCTCCTTTTTGTGTCTGTAGCTGAGAATCACCCTTTGTTTCTGCGTCTCATGAAGACTTCCCGTAAAAGTGCAACAGCAGGAGAGTTACCTACAAACATATAAACTGAAAGAAGAAAAATATTATATGTGGCTACTTGCAGATGTCTTGAGAGTTACAAATTGTGATTGAAATATTCCTGGAAAAAACACTAAGTCCAAGAATTCAAAGTGCTTGGTCAAGAAAGGGGATGAGTTTCATCTGCCACTTAAATTCCCTAAAATCTGCACCAGCATATCCCAGAGAGGTGAGCGCGGTACATGCACCTCTGCTTAACCACTGGAACCGGGTCACTCCCCATGGGATTCAGCCAATGAAACAGGTTCCCATATAGCATCTCCCGTACCTTGTATCTGTCCATAGGATCTTCCTGCTGCAGCTGACTCTCTCGCATGGTTTGGTACTCTCTCTCATATTTCTTCAGCTTCTTTGTTGGCACCTGTGGAACACATTTGGAAAATATGCATTTAAAGATTAAAGATGCACCAGAAAGGCTGTCTGAAAGCTCTTCTTGCAAACAGGATGCCAAGGGAGTGCTGGAAAGCTGCTGCCGAATAAAGTCGTTTCCCCCCTTTCAAAACCTACTCAGCAATACAATTCACATCGACAGAAATCTTCCTGTGCCTAGTACTATTAATTATTCAAATATTTAAAGGAAAACAAGTGAAGGAGAGACATTTAGTAAGACTAACAAGAAGAAAAAAAACTGTGAACAACAGGAGTGAGAGAACAGGGAAAAGGAAAATATGCTTTGATAGGTATGATTCAACAAAACAATGCCTTAGCAAGAAAACTGTTAAAAGTGAGATTAGAAGAAAGGTGTGTGCATGCAAAAGGGCTGGACAATTCCCAGGGAGAAATCAGAGTAATGTTTTTTTATTGCTGAAAGAGTATTAATATCTAAATTATAGATTGTAACTGATGCCCTCAAGAAGTTTGGCATCAGACTCCTCCTAGGCAAAGGTGAAGACGCTGCAGTGCTCTCTTCCAGCCGCAGCAGGGAAACAGTGAGGCGACTACATAGAAATCACAAGCAAATTCGATAAACAACCATGCAGAAAGGTCAAGTCCCAGACAGCTTGACTTCTGGAAAACCACAACTTCAACTTAAGCCAAGGTACACAAAGAACACCTGTGTTTTTTTAAACAAAGAACGGAGATCCTCTGCTTTACTTTCACCTTTTAATTTGGGACATTGTGCTACTTGAGCAATCCCATCTTTCTCTGGAGACCTTTGATAGCGTGTCTCTGTCCCTACCATATGACAAGAAGAAGCCGGCCCTATTAAATGTCGGATCATCTGCTGGCAGCCGGAGAGATCCCTAACATGATGTACCATCATGACTTGTAAAGATACGCTTTGCCTGGATCTGTTATGCATATATCTGTTCCTCTTGCCTATATTGATCGTGTCTGTCTGACTCCTGGTGTGAGGACATGCCTCTGTCACCTTGCCTTAGGGCAAAACATTACTGCCACTGAGCAGAGATACAAGTTTACATGTAGTTTTGGTGGCGTTTTTTCCTTTATTGGTTTTCAACCTAATACCTCCTTCCTCTGCGACACAGGAAGGGACCAAGCAAGTTCTCGGTGTCACTGCAGAGGCCTCTGGGAGGTACAGGTAGCAAAAGTGAAACCCATGATCTGCAAAGCACAGTGCACAGGGAGCACCAATAAAGCAGCACTAATGCCCACAAATACTGATGAAATCTTAAACCACCCCCCCCTAAAGGAAGCAAAGAGAAAAGGGTAAACATAAAAACATGAAGCACTTTGGACAAATATACGGGAGAATGTAATTTTGATGACTTTAGATACTGCAAAATACAATGAAATGAAAATGACTAAATCAGAGATGCTTTTTTACGTTTCAACTGAGAGACATTAAAGATGCAAACCGAGCCCGTTTCACCCTAGCTGCAACTGTTGAGGCTACTTAATATTCAAGAATATGAAATAATTTCAGAATAGTATTTTAAATGAAGTGAACCAATCACACATCCAAAGCCTGATCTACTCCTTCCTTCCATGATGCTTACTGGCATCTTATTCAGAGAAGCAGATCAAGGCTCCCAGGCTGGGCTGTTAAGAGGGCACCCTCCAAACCTGGTTCTCTTGTGAGTTTTGTGTTCCAGTATGCAACCAGCAGAAAACAAAGATAAAGAGGGAGACATTGTGGCACAGTATGGCAAAAAGGTGCAACATAGGTGTAACTTAGAAGATGATCTGTTCAACTGAAGATTTTCCCGATTCCTGATGCTTTTCATTAAAGCCTTTAAAGTACATATAAGAAGTAAGTCTTACTACAGAAAGAGAGAGACAAGCCTCCCATTCACACAGCTGCATGAATACTTCAGTAAGAATCCCACCATCAGAAGGAACAACAGATATAAGATAGATGCATTTGGGGGTAAATAAGGAGAAAAGAATGGAAAGCGAAGGTAAAAATTGCACAATCACAATCCTTTCCCGCCGAGCAGTTCCCCCATGCACAGGGGAACCCCCCATGTTTATGCAAGAAGTGCCATATGCACCCCAGCCCGGCACCAGGTGTCAGGGACTGCCTTCACTGACCACTGCAATGACCCACCAACAGCTACACCTTTCCAGCTGTCTGGAGCAGCATCTCCATTTTCCCTTTAACCACCAGATTTGCTTAAATTGCTTGTGAACAAAAATCATAGTTCTTGTTATAATTCAAAAGACACAGGCAAAATACAGCATAAAGGTAATGATGTGAGTAACTCTTACTGAGAGAGCAAGTGCAATATAAAACACTGCTGTGACCCAAATGCCTTCGCTGAGCACTGTGCCACAGCTGTCCCTCGCCAGGCTGAGCCTGTGGATGAAGAGATGACTGCTGCTTCTTGGTAACACAGCCTCACACACAGCAGCCAGCAGCATGCAGCTCCCCTTGCTCATTTTTTAAGTACTAATTTTTTTAGCTGCCTGAGAAAAGCTTTATTTCTCTGGTTTCACCTTGTATTCTCTGTTAAGATGAGGCAGAATTTAACTTGCACAGAGTCTATTTGGCACTTAATCATTTGCCTCAACAACACCAGAAACTAATCTGAACACGTCACATCAAAAAACGTATGATGAGCAGGGGAGAACGAGAGTCAGCTGCTTCTTTTAACTCTGCTCTCCACCATCTTCACAGTCCCTGTTTGCACACGCTGACAATTAACCATTTCTTAATGCCTGGCAACTTTTTCCACCAACTGTTCTTACCTATATGTGCTCTTTTACTTTCTTAAATTTTAATTCATAGCTGTGAGTAGGACCACGTGTAGATCCTTTGTGGCTGCACGAGGGATAAGGTCCCTCTTTCACCACTACAGGAGCTATCCATGAACGCTGTGGCTGTGGCCTGGGCTAAGGGGCATGCCTGGTATGCTCTCCAGCGAACAAACAGCATGGCAACACTTTCCTGCTAATGTTATCAGTACGTAATACCTGAAAAGGGGGTGAAATCACAAAAGGTGTAAGCATCAGGGTGTGAGGGAGTATGTTGTGACACAGAAAACAACTTCTGTGCTCACTGAAAGAATATCGTGACTTATGCATGTTAGTATCTACTTATGCTAGAATATTGTCTTAATTGGGAAGTACGTAAATTCAGTGAAAGACTGTCTTAAGGGTTGGGAGGGGCGCAGAATTCCTATTAGAAAACCAGTCCATACTAATCCACTTATCCCATAAAATATAAACTTGAGCAGGTATGCTTAATAACTTTGGCAGGGACTATGCTTCACTGTTATTGTCTATTCAGCCACATTACTCAAAGGATTTTGATAATTTATTACAGTACTTTCTTCTGGGTATACACTAATAAGTGAAAAAAAAAAATTAAAAGCCCGTTTCCATATTCCCCAATTTAATTCCCTGAAACAGTTTGTGAATTCAACAAGAGACTTCTCTGTAAGCCCTTTCATAAGTAAGTACATAGTACTAGCTATGCTTCAATCTTCATGGATTGCTCCTGAACAAAGTGTGCTCATAAATTTTCTGTAAAAGCTTCTGCAATATTGATTTCTTCTTTCTTTAGCACCATAGACTATACTGGCTAGAACCAATGGTTATCAAATTTAGGAGACTCTTATGGTTTATAAACATTGCTCATCTGTTTATCACAGTATCTTATCTCCTTGACTCGTTTTATTTTATTATGTTCAAGCACAAAGTCATGTCACAACTAGTTGTACGTAGAGAAAAAGCCATGCAGAGCATCTTAATAAAACATCCACGCAGAAGAACTGAACAAGCAAAACCTCTTTCTGAAAAAACCCAACAGACTTGTGCACTGAACGCTTGAAGGACTCACTATAGTGAGGTGATATGTGGCAGGTGAGAAACAAAAATGCTTTATTTGTAGCTGCCCCCCTGTTCAGCCAGGGCTGGAAAGATCTGCTTCACCCTCTCTGGCAATCCTGTGCACTGGCAGTGTGCCGAGCATCGGCATCCACTCAGCTCCAGGAGACCTTTCTCTCATTCTGCAATTTCTTTAGCTGTTTACAGACAGTTCAGCCTGACCTTGCTGGAGTAATAAATCACACATCTATGACTCCTTTCTCCAAAATGTTTTATTGCTCTAATGAAGCACGAGCACTCAGAGGAGGTAGTTATCATTATGTTCATTTGACAGCCAAGGAAATGGAAGCAGAGATGTAAAATGATTTCCTGAACATATTGAAGACAGCCAGAGGCTTACCCAGACAGAAAAATCCTATTACCTGATTTCTAATTTCCAGCACTGCCACAATGCCAGACAAAGCAGAGTATCTCTTTCCCCGATTCCCACTTCTTTTCTCTATCTAGCACTGCATAAACACTCCAAAAATAAACTGTCCCATCACACGAACAATGTAACCAATATTCTGTGATCTCTGCACTTAGTATTTTTTCCTCTCTAGTTCTCACCTCAATGTGGAAGGAAAAAAAAAAACCAACCACAAAGGAAAAAGCCAAGTAACAAAATGTGCAATGTTCTCCTTCCCCATTTTTGAAGCAGGTGACTGACTTTTCTGTTTCACTGGTGATGGATTTGCTTGGTATTTCAAGATTGAGGTGGGGGACTCGCATCCCTCCAAAGACAGGGTTACATTGTGTGCTGATGATGGATGCGGGAGACCCCGAGCTTGCTTTGAACAAGCACTGATAGCAACCACTGACGCTGGCTGCAGCCCAGCTTCCCTTTTATCCATCCATCACACACATCTCAGGCTGCAATCCCCATGATAAGGCCAGACTCTTCCCACTGTCGAAAAGCAGGACCATTTCCAAGCACACGTAATGCCTGGGAGCCTGGCTTAACCCTTGCACACAGGAGTACCAGCTGCAAGACACTCTCACAAACCACTGCTACATGTGCCCCTTGTGAGGAGATGGGAGTTATGCTTGTGCATACTTAATTTTCTTCGTATTATGCTTTAAAACAAT